GTGGGGGTCCCAGAAGATGAGAGAGAGCAAGATATCGAAAACATACTGAAAGAAATAGTGACAGAAAACTGCCCCACCTGGTGAAAGAATTAGACTTACAAGTCCAGGAAGTGCACAGAACTCCAAACAAAAGGAATCCAAAGAGGACCACACCAAGACAAATCATAATTAAAATTCCAAGAGCAAAAGACAAAGAGAGAATATTAAAAGCAGCAAGAGCAAAGCAGGTAGTTACCTATAAAGGAGCACCTATACGATTGTCAGCTGATTTCTCAACAGAAACCATGCAGGTCAGACGGGAATGGTAAGAAATATTCAAGATGATGAATAGTAAGAACCTACAGCCAACGATAATCTACCCAGCAAAGCTATCACTCAGAATCGAAGGCCAGATAAAGAGCTTCACTAATTAAAAAAAAAAAAAAAAGCTAAAGGAGTTCACCACCACCAAACCAGAATTATATGAATTGCTGAAGGGGGTTCTTTCGGAAGAGAAAGTAAATACAGATAAAAATTATGAACAATAAATACGTAACTATCAACAGGTAAAGCTAAAAACCAAGGAAATTTTTTTTTAATCTGATGAACAATATTAACTGTTGAATATAATAGAATCAGAGGTATGGAAGGGGAGTGAACTGACGATTCTTGGGGAAAAGGGAAGAGGGGGATGTGGGAAGAGACTGAACATAAACTGTGCTCCTATGGATTAGGACAATGCGGGGGGGTGGAGGGCAGAGGGTGGGATGGGAACCTGGTGGAAGAGAGCAATGGAGGGGGGGCGAGGAACATTTGTAATAATATGAACAATAAAAATTTATTTTTTTATAAAAGCAGTGGTACATTTATACTATGGAATACTATGTAGCAGTGAAAAAGAATGATCTCTTACCTTTTGAGACAGCACAGAGGGACCTGGAGAGTATTATGCTAAGTGAAATAAGCCAGTCAGAGAAAGACAAGTGTCATATGATCTCATATGTGGACTCTAATGAACAAAATAAACTGATGAACGAAATAGATCCGGAGACACAGAAGCATGGAACCAACTGTCAGATCACAGAGGCAAGGTGGGGGAAGGTGGGTAGATAGGAATAGATCAACCAAAGAACTTGTATGCGTATATGTATAACCCATGAACACTGACAATAAGGTGATGAAGGCCTGCAAGAGGGGAGGGGAGAACATATAGTACTTTCAACAATCAAGAATTAATAAAATTAAATTAAATTAAAATAATAACAATGACATGGAAAAATGTTCAAAATATAAGTGCAAAAAGTAAAATACATAACTATAGCCTCAGACTTCTAAATAAACACTTAGGGCTATTTTGAATATTGTTGCTTTGTACATGTCTCTTGTGAGCATATGTGTTTTTCTGTTGGGAAAATAACTAGGAAAGAAATTGCTAGGTCATAGATGTATATATGTTCAGCTTTAGTAGGCACTGCCAAGTAGCTTTCCAAAGTGGCTGTACCAATATACCTACCCCTAGTATATGAGTTCAAATTGCTGCATAGCCTTATCTGTGCTTGGCCTGTTTTGTTTTTGGTTTTCATTTTAGCCATTCTGATGGATGGTAAAGGTATTAATTGTGGTTTTAATTTGCACTTCCCTGTTAAGTAAAAATGCATACACATTTATAAATATTTATTAGATATTTAAGCATTTTTGATGAAGTGCCTTGAAAAAGATTAATTTTAATTATCAGGGGGGGAAAGCATTCTATCTTTTTAATAAACTTTAAGCAATGATTAGTATGGCTTTTCCATGGGCCATACTTTGAGTAGCAAAATATTGTAATCTTAGAAAACTAACTCAAGATGAATAGGAGAAATCCCCAGAAAAGATAGAAGATTGTAGTAACTATAATCTTTTATCATTTAATATGTCAGTCATATTCAATAGTAGAATAATAATAAAATAAGCCCAAGTATTCTTTTTCACCTGGCTTCTATTAATATCAACTCATGGTTTGTATTATTTCTCCTATACTCCCACTTACTCTCCCCTCTTTTTATTCCATTGCAGTAACTAATGTTTCTTTACATACTAGAAATTACAGAGTATTATATCCTAATATAAATTTGAGATTTTTTTTTTTGCATTCCTACTTCTGGGAATGAAGAATGTTAAGGAAATAAGACAAAAGATAAAAGGCTATATAAATGGAGGCATCCTATATAATAAAAGCACAATATGCAAATTGACTCAACGGCAGAATGACTGGTTGCTATGATGTGCACTGACCATCACTAAACACAGGAGCTGCCCCTGGTGGTCAGTGTGCTCCCACAGAGGAAGCACTGCTCAGTCAGAAGCCAGGCTTATGGCTGGTGAGCACAGTGGCAGTGGCAGGAACCTCTCCCACGTCTGCTGCAGGCAAGCAGTAAGGAGCAAGAGGTCCTGGACTGCTAGAGCCCCAGGCTGCAAGAGAGATGTCTGACTGCTGGATTAAGCCCTATCCTTAGAGGATTAGAGCCTAAGTCGGCAGGTGGACATCCCCTGAGGGGTCCCAGACTATGAGGAGAAGCAGGCTGAGCTGAGAGACCCCTTCTCCCCACCCCCCAGTACACAAATCTCATGCACCAGGCCTCTAGTTTATAATGATTGATGTATGTGGAAAACAGTTTAAAGCAAACTATAATGTCTAAGTAATAAGTAGTAAGGTAAATCATGACTGATCAGTCCAATAAAATATTATACAAGAACTAGAGGCCTGGTGTATGAAAATCATGCACTCAGAGGGAGGGAGTTCAGCCCAGCCTGCGCCCTCTCAAAGTTCGGGAGCCCTTGCCTCTCATAGTCCAGGAGCCCTCGGAGATGTCTGACTGACTGCTTAGGCCCACTCCCCATGGACATCAGTTGGACTTCCTTAGCACTTTCATGGAGGCAGGAGAGGCTCCTGCCACTGCACTCGCCAGCCATGAGCCCGGCTTCTGGCTAAGCTCCTGCATTGAGCATCTGCCCCCTGATGGTCAGTGCACATCATAACAACTGGTCATTCCATTTGCATATTAGCCTTTTATTATATACTAGAGACCCAGTGCATGAAATTCGTGCACAGGAGGGGGTGTTTCCTCAGCCCAGCCTGCACCCTCTCCAATCTGGGACCTTTCAAGGGATGTCTGGGACCCCACCAGGATCGGGCCTAAATGGGAAGTTGGACATACCTCTCACAATCCAGGACAGCTAGCTCCCAACTGCTCACCTGCCTGCCTGCCTACCTGCATGATTGACCCCTAACTACTTCTGAATGCCAGCCTGATCAATGCCTAACTGCTCCCCTGCCGGTCTGGTCACTCCTAACTGTCCTCCCCTGCCGGCCTGGTTGCCCCTAACTGTCCTCCCCTGCAGGCCTGGTCACCCCTAACTGCCCTCCCCTGCAGGCCTGGCCGCCCACAACTCCCTCTCCTGCTGGCCTGGTCACTCCTTACTGCCCTCCCCTGCCAGCCTGGTTACCTCCAACTGCCCTTCCCTGCTGGCCTGGTCACCCCTAACTGCCCTCCCTTGCTAGCCTGGTCACCCCTAACTGCCTTCCTCTGCTGGCCCGATTGTTTCCAACTGCCCACCCCTGCAGGCCTGGTTGCCCCCCACTGTCCTCCCCTTCAGGCCTGGCTCCCCCCTAACTGCCCTCCTCTGCCAGCCCAGTCGCTCCTAACTGTCCTCCCCTGCAGTCCTGATTGCCCCCAACTGCCCTTCCTTGCTGACCATCTTGTGGTGGCCATCTTGTGTCACATGGGGGGTGGCCATCTTATGTGTTGGAGTGATGGTCAATTTGTATATTACCTCTATTATATAGGATGATTGAGAATAATTGTTTTGAAGTTCATGTGGTAATATGGGAATTAATTTTTAAGTATAAACTTTTAAAAACCACAGTTTTACATGTTCTTGTTATAAATTATTTTTAATGTTTCTGCTTTATTTAAAATATACATAATCACAATTAAGAAAGTTAGAATAACATACTTATTTTTTACTATAACAACAATTCAAGAACTGTTATCTTTATCTGAAATCTTAAGTTCGACCATTCTCTGAAGTTTTCAATAGTGCTTCTTAACTTCAGAAGACTGTGAGGATGGTATGGTACCACAGATAATTATTCCTGAATTTTTTCCTTATCGTTTTGCCTGGGGAAATTTTGGGTTTTAGTTTTTAGAAATAAAATTACTTTCTTATTCAAGGGAAATATTAATTGAGAGGACATCTGAGATCACATTTACATAAGAAGAGTAGCTGAGTGTTTACTGAATAATCAAGTTTTGAAATGGGGTCACTTTCAGGAGGAGCCTGACAATATGCAACTGATAAAAGCATATTTGGTTTTATTTTTTTGTTTGTTTGTTTGTTTGTTTTAAGCAGGCATTGTCAATTTCATCAAAGTAGGATTTCACAGAAATATTGTTCTCTTTTATAAAACAGTCCCACCTTCTAGAATTCCCTTCCACTTGACTTTTATTGGAGCATCTGAATCTATGACATCTAAAATGCTTCATCTGTATGATCTCAAGATCATGGACTTTAATTTTTTTTTCAGGAACAAGAAAACTGAACTGAAAGCAAGATCATTTATTTTTTGAGATATCTCCATGAAAATGGGCATCTGTTTGCTCAAATTTAACCTGTCCCCTTTGTCAATCATTACTGTTTCATAAACTAAATTAATTGGTGTCATTTTCTCTTTGGGGGTTTTATGTCTGCAGTTGGACTAATTTAGGATCACTCTGATTTCTGATCTCTTTGTTCATAAACTGTGTTGTACAAAAATGGGCATTGTCCTTAAGGAGTTTTTTTCCCTTGCTAATTCATATTTATTTACTTGAAAAAATTAAACTTTTCAAAGAAAATAAAAAATGATTTTTAAAAATTTATAAGGTATGTAGTATATATCAATATTTTGTAATGTCACCTTATGTTTATATTTACAATTTACTTTTTAAAATTCATGACACTGTTTTCTTTATTTTTTTTTCATTATCCTGCAATTTCAGAGCATGTAACTTCTAATGCCAGCGATAGTGAAAGTAGTTACCGTAAGTGTTTTAAGTTACTTATTCTTTTGTAATCTCAAGTAATATATATTCTTCGGCATTTTTTTCCTTTAGTGATGTGTTCTAAAAACTGAAAATTAAATACTTAATCTTTTATAATCAGTGAGAGACAACTAAAATTCAGAAAACTTGAAAAAAAAATAGAAAATATATATATAGAAGCTACTTTCCAAAATTTTAATAAAATACTGAAATCTTTTTTTACAAAAAGTGCTATTTGTAAACAGTACATATATATGTGTATGTCTTTAAAAGGAGTAAATATCTAGTTAAATGAGGGGTAAACTTACATTTTGCCATTTTCTTCACTTATTTTGTTTTAATATGAGCATTAAAATTATTTTTCAGTAATGCTAAATTATAATTGACTTTATTTTCTTTTTTATTGTGTCACCAGTATTGGTCTGGGTCAAATTATTGTTTATTACCAGCCTTTGGTAAATATAGACATTATGGAGGAAAATTTTTCAACAGTTGCTCAGACTATAATACTGATTTTATTTTTGGTGTTTTGTGTTACATTCTGGGTATTATACTTGACCCTTGAACAGCATGGGTTTGAACTGCACATGTTCACTTATATGTAGATTTTTTTCAGTAAATACCATAAATGTATTTTTAAATGTATTTCTTAGCATTTTCTTTTCTCTAGTTACTTTACTGTAAGTATTCTTACAGTATATAATACACATAACATACAAAATATGTGCTAATCAACTTTATGTTACCGATAAGGCTTTCAGTAAATAGTAGGCTACTAGGAGTCAAAAGTTATATGCAGATTTTCAGCTTTATGGGTACTCAGCATCCCTAACCCCCAAGTTGTTCAAGGGTCTACTGTACATTATTAAATGTACAGCATGTGAAGCATGTGAAGCATGTGAAGTTTTTAAACAGATTTGGGACATGGGAGGAGGGGAGAGTACATGAATATTGTCAGTTCTAGCATCTTAAAAGTTAAAATGCTTTTCTAACTTTTTTTTTTCTGCTCTCTAATCTGAAAGTAATCTTGATTACAGATGAGTATGGCTGCTCAAAAGGTCCATCCTATTAATATCAGTTCCTACTATTTTTCATGTAGACAATATATACTTTTAATCCTCGCTCATTTGATTGGTTATTTTTTCTGTATAATAGTTACTTAATAATTTTCCTTTTTTGGTATGGGAATGTGATTTTATATATTTTAGCACTTAATTTAATCATAATTCACCATAGAGTAGTTGAGTAGTTTCTAGACTAAAAAGAGGTCATGAAAGTATATACTGTCTCATCATTTGCATGAATTATTAGGTGTGGAATATTCAAATTGCATGTTTTTGCTAATATGTAAACCATGTTTTACATACAGTACTTTTAAAAGCAGCTTGTAAATGTGTATTTTATATATTATGGTAATAAACTTAGAACAATGAAATACACTTTTAAAGTAGAAAAGAATATATTATGCCAATATGTAAATTTAAAAGATCTACAGCTGCATACATATAATATCAACCATTGACAAAGTTAGTGAAAAGGATGTTAAAAGAATTGTGATGCTAATCCAGGAAAAAAATCTTTAAATACATTATCCAATATTGATTGCTTTTATGGAACCACTTGAATTAACAGCCTTTCCTATTTGTTTTCTACACATTTGTGTGTGTGTGTGTGTGTGTGTGTGTGTGTGTGTGTGTGTGTGTGTGTATATGAAGAACTGAAATTGTTCACTCTTTTTTTAGATCTTTTCATTGAGTTTTGATTTCTAAACTCTTTTAAACTCTAAACTTTAATGTTAGAGGATTTAACTTCTAAAACTCTTTTAAGATAAAAAGCAAAATATACTTTAATCTCCTTTACTGTGTGATTTATTTTGTTTGAAGGAACAGATTTAGTTTTATGTAAAAGCTTTTTTTAGCTTACTTTAAATGTAATTTTTAATTGAATAAGTGAATTAGAAGAATAAGTGAATTTTTATCAGTGAAATAGTGACTGTAGTTTTACCTCTGCATAAAAAAAATTTTTTTTTATTGTGCCCTAACTGGTTTGGTTCTGGATAGAGCGTCGGCCTGTGGACTTAAGGGTCCCAGGTTCGATTCCAGTCAAGGGCATGTACCTTGGTTGCGGGCACATCCCCTGTAGGGAGTGTGCAGGAGGCAGCTGATCAATGTTTCTCTCTCATTGATGTTTCTAACTCTCTATCCCTTTCCCTTCCTCTCTGTAAGAAAATCAATAACATATTTTTTTAATTTTATTGTAAAGTAATTGTAATTATAAAAATATGTATATATTCTATTAAATGTTATAACTGACAGGAATAAAATAGCTGCATATTCTTAACAGCTGGAAATTACCTAATATACACATATGTAGAACTGCTCATCAAAGTAATAATCTTTTTAAAATTTAGTAGTTCTTAGGTTAATGGGCCATACTTGACATCAAAAATGAAATTTTTAAATAGATCTAATGATAATCTGTAAACTCAGATAATAGAAAGATACTTATGAAATACATAGCACATTTACATTTTGTTTTTACATTTATCAAACTTATCTTTATGGCTTTGTGATTTACCACTTTTCTTTTTTACTAAAACTTGCCAGAAATAATTTATAATGTACCTTTTTCTACATCTTTGCTATTTCCTTAGCAACGTCCTAGTAACTTTTATGTTATATATGAAGAATTAAATTAGCATTAGTTATCTGTACAGATTTTCTTATCTGTATTTTAATCTTCTAATAGGTGGTCAAGAAGAATATGTCTTGTCTTATGAACCAGTGAACCAACAAGAAGGTTTGTGAAGCCTGTTGATTTTTATAATCTTCTAGAAAAATATATTTTTTAACTTGGGAAATAGGTCTAAATCATACCTCAAAAATGTTTTTAGAATTTTACTATTATTTTTTTTAGTATATGTATAAATGTGGAACTTTACTATTTTATGAAATATGAGTTTTAGCCCAGAGCATATTATAATCTAGTAGTTTTGAATAGGTGTCTTATTTCCTAAGTGATGTAGTTCCAGAGTTCATAAAAGTATTATTCTCCTTCCACTAACCTTTGTTCAAAATCTTGGAAGCATCTTTGATCTTTCTTTGTTTCTTATCTACCTTGTTGAATCAGTTTCTAGGAACTATTATTTTTCTATTATATCTTTTTTATTTATCACCTCCTTGTCATCCCTCCTACCACAATGTTAATTCTGACTGTCACTATCGATGTCTCGTCTTCCAGCATGATCCCTTATAATCCAGTGTGTACACTTCTAGTAGATTATCTTTCTAGATTACTACTGTGATTATATCACTTCTTAATACTCAGTTTCTTTTTGTCCTTCTTTGACCTGCTTTCTTACAATTTCTACTTCAAAAATCATCAATAGCCCAATGTGGCTTTGTGGTTGAATATCAACCCATGCATGTACCAAGAGGTCACCAGTTTGATTCCCAATAAGGGCACATGCTGGGTTTTGGGCTCAATCTGGCTACAGCAGGAGGCAGCTGATCAATGTTGGTGCATCAATGTTTCTATCTCACCCTCTCCTTCCTTTCTCTCTAAATTAATAAAAATATTTTTAAATGATCAGTAAAATACAGCACTGTTTTCTCATAATGAGATGATATTAACAATCTACATAAACATTATCTGCTAAAATGCTGGATTTAACTTGTTTGAATTAGCAATTCTTCCAGCAGGAGGTTAACTTAAGCTTAAGATCTTAGTGAATGCTAATAAACTAGCAAGTTAGGCATCATTGGTGGAAAAAGAAAAAAAAATCTTACTGTCTATTAAGGATACTTTGTTCTTCGGTGAAATAAAATACATTGATGTTTAGTGTTTATTCCTTTTAACATGCAGTATACTTATCTTATAGTTAATTACACTCGACCAGTGATTATATTGGGACCTATGAAAGACAGGATAAATGATGACTTGATTTCAGAATTTCCGGACAAATTTGGATCATGTGTTCCTCGTGAGTAACCCACATAAAAAAATCTTAATTATCATCCTTAACATTTTGTCACTGTATGTGGTAAAAATAAACATCATCATTTTTATATATTTATTTTATCGGTTATTCTTCTATCCTCCCTATTATTGTCCTTTTTCAAATATAAATTAACCTCTGTTGCATTGAACTTTATAAAATAGGTATTTAAGTATAAAATGAATTTGTAGTATTTTTAATACTAAACACTTCAAGTTCTTTCTATTAAAGATACAACTAGACCAAAAAGAGATTACGAGGTAGATGGAAGAGATTATCATTTTGTGACCTCAAGAGAACAGATGGAAAAAGATATCCAGGAACATAAATTTATTGAAGCTGGCCAATATAACAACCATCTGTATGGAACAAGTGTTCAGTCTGTGCGAGAAGTAGCAGAAAAGGTAAGCATCAAAATGATCTAGAATATAGTTTCTAATTAGATATGCCTTTAACAGTAAGACAGAAACTTTTTTTAAAAATACAGATGTTGAAGAATTGATTAATGTTAGTGACTCATTCAACTAAATAATTTTCAATGGCCATAAGCTTTTATAAGGTCAAACTTTGTATGATTTTAAATTTATGTAAGTCTTATATTTCTCCTACTTTTCAAAAATATTTACAATGACACAAAGTGGCTCTTGACCCTGGGTACACATTAGAATCCCCTAGGGAGCTTTAAAAACATGCCCACACCTAAACCAATTAAATCAGGATATTTGGGGGATGGGGCCAGAGGCATCTGTATTTCTTTATTCCATGTCTATTATTTTCTGTTCCATCTCCAATGTGTTTTTTACAGTATTTATTACAACTAAGAATTACTTAAGTTACTTCTTTTGAACAAAACAAGGCTTGAGTTTTCATCTGTTTTCTTTATATTTTACAGTGCTCTTAGCAACAGCCTGTCATGTTCTTTGCATTTAATATTTGCATGTAGATAGATATGAAAGAATAAATGACGAATGAAAGAGTACAAAATTAGATAATTATGTTAAAATATGTTTAAATACATTTGTTTTATAGCTGTGATGGGAGTTCATCACTTGCATTTTTTAAACTAGCTTAGTAGAAAGTAATATGCAGCCAAAACCGGTTTGGCTCAATGGATAGAGCATCAGCTTGGGGACTGAAAGGTCCCGGGTTCAATTCCGGTCAAGGGCATGTACCTTGGTTGCGGGCATATCCCCAGTAGGGGGTGTGCAAGAGGCAGCTGATCGATGACTCTCATCGATGTTTCTATCTCTCTATCTCTCTCCCTTCCTCTCTGTATAAAATCAATAAAATATATTTTAAACAAAAAAAAAAAAAAGAAAGTAATATGCAACCCTGGTTTATAGAAGGCACAGATACTCAAATGGGTAATTCATATATTAAAACTTAAATTAGTGAGACTAGGAGAATACATCAGACTCGGCAAAAATATGTTTCTGGGGAATGAGACATTAGAATCTCACCTGCCTGGGAGAACTTGGATGAACGATTATGGTTCCATTTCTACCAAATTATGTATCAGAGATCTTGTATCAGCAAAGGTGTTATTTTATGTCTGGCTACAGACATAAAATCCCCGGCCCTCATCAGGGTAGGTGGGGGAGACAATCAATTGATGTCTCTCTTTCATGTTGATGTTTCTCTCTCTTTCTCCCTTTCCCTTCTCCTCTTCTCCTCTCTCTCCCCCATCCCTTCCACTCTCTCTGAAAAACAATGAGGATTAACAACAAAAAGATGCCAGACAAAAAGTAGCTGGTGGTCAGTTTTTATAAATGTTATGGTCTTCATGAAAAGAGCACATTTCTAAAAAGAGATCATTTTTTTTACTTAAAAGATGTTCTTGTAAGTAGAAAAATAAAAGGAAACTCCAATCACAAAATACTGAATTGTCCACAACATTTTGGAATAGTGTTCTTAGGGGCAAAGAAAAATGTCAAAAATTTACCAAACTGTGTTGAGAGCAGGGTTCATGGCTGATCCTGGCAGAATACTCCACATACTTAGAGTTTAGGAAAAGTGTGCTTATTTTGTTAGATATCAAACACATCTGAGTTAATATTACTCGAAACAAATTTTTTTTCTTTTGCCTTGAATGCACCAGCTGTTGGCTAATAACTCCAAGGAAAGGATGTCATGAAACTTTAGAAACATTTGCTTCAGGGTCTGCCAGAGCATCTTTTGGGGATCGCAAGGCAGAACTTTCCGGCTCCTCCCACCCAGGATCCAAATCTGTAAAGGAACCATACAACCATTTACTTAACACAGTAATGATGAGTTCAGTCAGTTACTCTTATTGATGAAAAACAATGGGAAATTTAGTTAACATTTTCAATTAAACATCTCTCCACTTTTCCAAAATATGTTCACATTTCTCTGAAACTTAAATGTGAAAATATTTAACCTTTTAAGTTACTCTGAGGACTATTTTGTATGATCCAATTTGATTTAAAAATTCAATGTGAGATATTACATAATAATTTTCCCCAAAATAATGAGTATCCTTTTTTATTCAATAAATCTAGGAGCTCAAAACTGATCCCAATCACTCAAAAAAATTTTGAGTAAAGATTAATTCCGACTATTGATTTAAATTAGATTGATAAGAAATGTGCATTTTCAAGCACTATCTGTTATATAAAACTGTAATTTTAATTGAAATCTAATTATTAGTCATTCTTGATCCACCATAAACAATTTCATAATAATCCACAGTAAATAGTACTCTTCACTTAAGTAATATCAGATAATAGATGTGATGAATTTGGGAAAACTGTAAAGCATTATGCATAGTCAAGATAACACCATGGATACCTATCATGGAGGTAAGGTGGGCAAGGAATGAAAAAACTTGAATTTTCACCTCAGCTCTACCACTAACAAATGCTGCTGCTTTGAAATTAACTTTTCTGAGACTCAATTTCTAATTCTTTTAAATAAAAACATTAGCGCAGGTCATCCATTGGTTTTAGCACTTGAATATTTCCCTTTCATTTCATGATCTGAAGAACTTTCCTTCACATAAAATCTTACAAAAAACCCTGATATAAAAACATATTATGTAAGAGTGTTCTGGTTGATATGGGAGCAGGTGATCTTGACTCCACGTTTGGCTTCTCCATCATGGTGGCTCCCAAAACTACCGGAGAAACTGCAGGGAACAGAGGGCCAGCAAGAACCTTTCCAGAATTCTTATTCTTAACCAGAATCTCAACCGAGAAACTAGAATTAGCAAAAAAGTTTTCGGAAAGTCATCTGTCAAATAAATTCCTATTCCCTTCGTACATGGTAGTTGAGGCTTGATGATACAGGAAAGCTTTAACTGAATTCACTTCATGGGTCTTATGGCTTTGAGAAGTATGCTAGTTGTAAGAATTCTTAAGTTTAAGCTTTTTGAATAAGAAAAAGCGAGGAACAAAACTATAATTTTAAAACAAATATTGTAGGTAAAATATATGAAGTAAATCAAAGAGTTAATATCTATCTTTGAAAATTCACATATAATTTTAGGATTTCATGTAGACTGCTAGTCACATCTTGTCAAATGGAAGCTTTTAAACCAATAAAATAGATTTTGGAATTTAAATATGAGTCACATGATTATAATTAAGGTAGAACACAATAGACAGCTCCCACTGATCCACTCAGAGTATGGTAAAGAACAAAATGATAAAAGAAGTTCCTACAGGATTGGCAAGTGGGCAAGTGCTATGTTGTTTTAGAAAAGTTTCTGAGAATTTAAGTAGATTTACCCAGAAACCCATTTTGACTATCTAAATAATATTACAACCACTATTAAAATTGATGTTTTCTACAATTCAAATCTGGGGTGTAAGTCAGGGAAGGTGTTTCAGGGGAGATTATGCGTAAAGGTGGTGTATAAAGATTAATAAGCAGACCAGGGCAGGTAAACAGAACTGTGGACAGAGAAAGGTGCATTGCAGCCAGCAAATATATATATTTTTTTATCTGAAATGTTTATGGTTGTTTTTCATTTTTAGCATCATATCTGCTTAATCCTCTCTTGGTTTTCAACAATCTCTAAATTGTGTCTTAAAGTTTGAATCCGTGTAGTGGAATGGCTATATATCCCCTCACCCCACCCCCATGTCGTATCACTCTCTGAACAACACATCTTGACGCCTGAAAATGATAGCATCCAGCTCCAATCAAAACTTCTGTTCACAGCTCTGATGTAGATCTGGGGGCTCTTCCATGTTATTTGAAACTGGTATTGATTGCTTCAGGTCTAAACACAATGCCCAGAGGGCCATGCTGGTTGCTTTAGATGAGGAACAAAAAGTAAAACCAAGCTAAACAAAATGAAGAGATAAATGTAGATTCAAAAAAATGTAAACAGGAGTCTTCAGTGCCTGCTATCAGGCATCATTAAATCGAGATGCTCTTTTCGCTGGTAAGGTCAGTGAGGGAGGTGAGGGAGGATGGGCATGCTAGGAGACAATATGCTGCCCTGCATGAAAGCAAATTTGATGCTTAGTAAATCACATTGTTTGCTTATAGTCTTCATTGTTTATCTTTAATCTCTGGCAGATGGGAACTGGCTGAGAACATGCAAGGGCACAGAATGCCCCATGTGTTAGCTTGCTTGCCTGAAAGTTCTACAAGAAGAATTTACCTCAGCCTTCCAAGTCTAATCAATGGGGTACTATTTAGAGTGACCATATAGTTTATCTCCAAAGCAAGACACCTTTGAAGGAGAAAGAGGACACTGTAAATAATCATGTCTGCATAATAGGCACACAGTGGGACGTTCTCAAGCAAATAGGGACTCTTAGGGAATATGTGGTGATCTTATTATTTGAAAGGAAATCTTCAAAGATAAATATGAATAACACACAGAGCACGATCTTGGAAGTAGGTTAAGAGTCAGAAAATTAGTTGCTATATCAGCCCATAAGTTTATAGGTTTGGGAAAACTTTAAATTTGAGCAATGATACCCTAAATTTTTGTTGAGAGACATAAAATAGCTTTCCTTTCCTATACAGTAAGTATATGGGAGTATCAGAGTGATATGCAGTTGCTAAAAAGCCAGCTCTAATGGCCTTAGTCAAGAAAACATTGCAATTCAGGCTAAACCACATATATACAGGGACAACTTTAAATTTGATTATTTAGTACTTAAATTGCTTAAGAACTTAAACTATTACAAATAAAGCACCACATGGCACATTATTCCCTATATCCTCATCTGGATGACTCTTTTCATTTTGCAAATCTCAATTCAATGTACCCTTCTCCTTGAGACCTTTTCTGGTCACCATAGCTAAAGTGACTTGCTGACTCCTGCCATACTCTGTCATATTGTCCTTATACACCCTAATGGCTTGGGAAAATACAAGATGAAAATTGATAAAATGAGGTAGAAATTATAACTTGAATTTCTCTAAG